ACCAATGAAAAACATAATGCCAAAATAATTAACATCAGTCATGTATTTGGATTTCACTCCCAAGATCCCAAATAGATGTATCTGGATTTCACTCCCAAGATCCCAAATAGAGCTCAGTGCTCACAAAAAAAAGTAGATTTACAATCAGTATGGAGATAAACATATCTGGATTTCACTTCCAAAAACTTCAAATCCTAGGTTTCACTTTAAAAAATTAAATAAACCTAAACAAATTTCTGAAAATTTAAGCTAAGAGACAAACCTGAAGATAAATATGAAATATTATAGAAAAAATTCTCGAAGAAGACGACTCGGTAGCCTTACAAGCAACCAAGCAAGAATATCGGGCAACCGAACACCGAAGCAAGAATACCCGAGAGTGGTCGATCCAACGCCGACTCGCTGAGGAAAAATACACTTTATCAAAGAAAAATAGAAGTAGAGATTAGAGAATGAACCCAAAAAATCAACCCTAAGCTCTCACCGAGATAAAGGTTTTCGCGATTTTGAGACAAGAAGACGGAGGGTTCTCAGCGAGAGAAGCTTTCGCGATTTTGATAGGAGGGTTCTCTCAAGTCGCAATCACCGAGAGGAAGCTTTTCACGAACTTGAGAGAAGAAGGAGCAGCCGAAAGTAAGCTTTCGAGAGAGGAGAAAGAGCGGCGTGAGAGGAAAAGGGCGAGCACGTTCGAGACTCGATTAGGGTTTCCGCGGTTATAACTTATAAGAATTTTTATTCGTTCGATTGTTTGTATATATTAATATATATAAATAATATATATAATATATTATATTAATTATATACATTATATTTTTTTATATTATATAAATATATAATATCTATATCACTAGTATAATATATAAATATATTATTATTAATAATTTATTGTACATTATAATTAAAGTATGATAAATTTTTTATATATATTTATATTAATTTTTTTTATATTTCGAACAATAACGATTCGAACACGAACGAACGTATCACTGTTCATGTTTGGTTCGTTTAACAAACCGAACGAAAAAAATTGTTCGTGTTTGTCTTGTTTGCTTATCGAACGAATCGAACACGATTACTTTGACGAATCGAACACGAACTGTTCGCGAAAAACGAGCTTTTTTGCAACAACGAGCTTTTTTGACGGCCCTACCCATTACTTTAGACATTTTCGACCCATTAATTATCGGCTGGTGCAACTTGGTAGAATTTAGAAGTACGGTACCACTCGCATTTTCTCTCTGAAGAAAAACAGAATATGTGAATAAGAACTTTCTTATGCATCATTTTTTCGGAATTCGATTTTGCCTGAACTTTAATATGGACTGCCAAATTGCTACCTGTGATTACTTCAATTTTTTTTCTCTGTATATTGATCTGTCTTTCATAATTTATAAAAGCCATACTGCAATTATTTTGCCTAAAAGACTATCTTTGCTCATGTTTGTGCTGTGGAACTGCATGACCTGCATTTGTTATTAAATGTTTCTATAATCTACTTCAACTTTTTTTTTTCTTTTATGCAAAGCACAGAGGAGTATCTCTACTTGTGGAAGCTGCAAATATGGGCGATGCAGATGCACAATATGAGCTTGGTTGTCGTCTTCGGGTTGATGTAAGGCTCTTCATCAATTATAAATCAAGCATTTGATGTAAATCTAATAGTCATTATTTATTGGAGACACAATCACGCGCATTTGGTCTTATTTTAATTGTTTGTATCTCTTAATTATTTTAGTTTGTGTGCATATAAACAATTATATTAGTGATCCTATTGAGAATGAGATGTGTTCTCTGCTATTTGGATTATCTCGTAGGATTTGATTTACTATTGTAAGTTGTTTTAATTCAATGTTTCTTGTATTCCTAATAGAATACATGTTTTAAATATCTACTTCGCTACAATGGTTGATTTGTTTATTTACTTATTCGTTGTTGGAGGAGCATGTTGAAGATGCTTTCTCTTTGGCAATTTGGCTTTATAGCTATCAGTTGAACCTTCCAACTTTGTTGAAACTTATTCCAGTAACCTGGTTGTGTTTTAAATCTGATTTTGTTGAATTGAAATTTTTAGTATTAGGCCGAATGTTGGAGGATTCAGAGAAGTTATATGTTGAGCCTCTTTCAGTTATAAATAGGACCCATGTGACATGTAAAAAAATGATGGATGACTGAATAAAATTTTTGTTTCCTCTCAGTTCTCGTGTGTTGTCGGACACGAACTCTTTGAATTTTTTGCGAGTCTTAATGATAATTTTTTAGGGATGATTTTTGTTGTACTGTGTTCTCTTGATCTTCCAATGAATAACTTCTATCATTGTATTTGTTTTATCTATTAAACAGCTTAGTTTGTGGGTGACATTGAAAACTAGTCAAGTTCAATATATGCTAATTTATATTTTATCGTGAATCTTAAATGCGGCAGAATTTTATTTTTAATCTTAGATTTGTTATGGAATTTAAGATTATAATGACTTCGACATTATCATTTGAAAAGAATATAGTATGTGTATGTGTATTTAAATTTTACAATTGAAAATATAAAATTAGAAGTTTGAAAATTGCTAATTGTTTTTTAGGTGATTTATATCCTTGTTCTTTCTTCTAAAATGTTGATATATTGATTTGTGTGTGTTTGTTTGAGCTCTTGTTACATTCGGTATATAAATCTTAGTCACCACATAATTCTATACTTCTAAGAAATGTTGTGGAATTCGTTATTTTGCTGATAAACTGGTGAAACCCCAAATACTGAGAACTCCTGCACATTTTATGCTTTAGCTGCATGCTTGCTTGTGTAAATTTGCCTTGTGAGATGATGGGAAAGGCAATGAAACTTCTCAGCCTTGGAATTCGTATATGCACCTGTGGATCCTTACTAAATAGAATTTAATTTACTGTTTCTTGGATTCTTTTTTATTGTATGAACTCTTGTTTTATGCAATCTAAAACTGTTTTCTTGCATTTACAGAATAAGTATGTTAAGTCAGATCAGCAGGCTTTCTATTATATAGAGGAAGCAGTTGAGCAGGTAAACACTGGCTGCTTGTGTGAGGTTTTGTTTCTTTGTCTAAATTCTGTTGCATCTAAATAAGCTCACTTGATATTGCATTTTGTTCAAGCTTCATCCAGGGGCTTTATATCTTCTTGGTGCTGTTTATTTGACTGGAGATTGTGTCAAGAGAGATGTTGCTTCGGCAATGTGGTGCTTCCACAGAGCATCTGAGAAGGTATTCAATATTAGGGGCATTTACATACATACCATCCAATTCTTATGAATTTACTTATCTAACATCTAAATTTTATTTTTTACATTTATACAACCAAATCTTTCATATCACATTAAAAATACCATCATTTTAACTTTTAAAAAGTGAAATACTGTAATAACCGGAAAATTTTTTTTAAAAAAACAAAAACTAAAAGAAATTTAATAGGTTAGTGTCGATTCGGAGGGATTAACTATTTAGACATTTTTGTTTTAAGGAGAACAAGTGCTCATTTGAAGCAAATAAACAAATTGGACGAGAGAACGAGAGTAGAAACCACAGGAGAAGAAGAAAGAGCGGAAAGAGCAGTCAAGTGTTTCTCTTATTGAATGTTTGGCGTAGGGCAACAAGACTCAAGAATGGGAAGAAGAAAAAGAGAAAGAATGAGAGGTTGAGTTGAGGTACTTCGCTTGTGATTAGCAGCGGAACGTCTTTACAATGTCGAAAGGCTTCGATTTCCCAGGAGAGAGAAGCCTAGCGTGATCAAAGAAGATGAAAGACGCAATTGAGCGGCTTGCGGCTTTGGCGTGAAGGTGAAAGAGAGGGATGTCGCGTGTTAGCTTTGTGCAAGAGGAGGCGTCATCGAGCAGGTGAGGGTGATGAAATATTAGGGCAGTGAAGATCTTCCATGTTCGATAGAAAAAAAAGGAAGGAGAAGGAAAACATGTGGGTGGCACCGTTGACTTATGAGTTATGTGCAAAGGAAGGAGGCAAGTCGATCTGAGTTCTAGCATGTGGGAGAAAGGGAAGCCAAATTTGAGCATACTCTGTGTGTGGATGAAGAAAGAGGAGACTTCTGTGTGCAAACATTGAGGAGTTGAACAACAAGGAAAGGTTAAGGTGAGTTATAATTTAACATGTTACGTATGAATTTAATGTATATGTTTAATTATTAAAATATTAATAGTAGGTTTAATTAAATCAGAATTTTGATAATATAATTGGGAGAGGTGATGGAGGAAGTAGCAACCAAATAAATTTAATTGTGGTAAGTTCTACTTATATTTCTTTTAATTTAAAAGATAAGTTAATACCTGAAGTAATGTATAATTGGAAAATACTTTAGAAGTTTGAATAAGAGAATTAATGAAGTTGATAAAATATTATGTTGTGCTTTTTTAGACATTGAATAGAGGGCATCAAGGATTAAGTGGATATAAGAATCATCAAAATGGTAATGTAAGTAATTGTATTTCTAAATTTAATTAATTTTTATTTCTAAATTATGCTTGATTTCATTTATGTTTTCTTCTATTGAGATTTAGATTCTAACAGATTCTTCATATTGTTAGTTTTGAAAAATATGCATGTTAAATAGTTGCATTATAGTTTTCCTAAAAAGTGGTTAGCTAACTACATGATATGTAGATTCTAGTATAGGTGTATATATTAATTTTTTGTATGAATTATAGATTAGTGTGATTGTAATTATTTGTCAATAGATAGAAGTAAAGTGTTTCCTCATAAGCTAACTATTCATCAATAGATAGAAGTAAAATGTTTCATAAAAAATAATATATGACATGATGAATAAAGTAGTGTATATATGAATGTCTGTATGTGCATGCTAAGTGGAGTTCTCTCTGTTATGGTGCAGCCAAGAACATTAGTGTACCCATGCGCGTAGAAGTTATCTTATTACCCTAAACAACTATGATGTTTAGATCGCTGACTAATGTACCGACGAGAAAATATCTGAGGCGAGTATATACATTTCCCTTTAAGACAACCATATGAATTAGATTACAAACTATTGTACCAACAAGATAATATCGTCAGGTGTGTATTAGGTTATTTTTTTATGATGCTTCTAAGATAGATATGAATGTTAATACTTAATAGCATGAAGTAAAAGGAAACTTAATGATTAAAACTTCAAGAGTAAAGTTAAAGTTAATGCATATCAAAGTTTATGTTTTTTTTCATTAAGTAAATGTCATGGGCACATACATTAAATCATTATAAGATCTTCTATATTGAAATATGAAAGACCGGCATATATATTATTTTATTTTTTCTTGGGTTTCTATAGTTTAGATGTGAGATTGCTATACTGGGTTATCCGTAAATAATTCATTATATCATTTTAATATTTTTTTCAGGTTTTAAGCTTTTAAATAAAATGATTACTAGATGTGCTAATATGTATAGAAGGCGAGCTCAACAACCAAAAATGTAAAATTTTTACTTATTATTTAAATTGATTTTTTTATTGACTCTTTCAATTAATATTAAATTGTTAGTGATAGCAATAAAATAATAGAAAATTTAATTTCATTGTTCGACTGTTTATTCCCGCCTTGGTTAATTCCAAGCCCCGGGCCGGGTCATGACAAATATTTCTTTTCATGCATAGATAATGTGGTTTGTATGTAAAAGTTAAAGTTTAGGTGTTAGATCTGTAAATCAACAGGAATTGAGTGGTAGGTATGTAAATCTTTCTTTTTATTATTCTATCACTAACCCAAACCATGTAGTTTGTTAGTTTGATAATGGAGAATGCAGCATTGTCTCGTATTCTATCACTCACCCAAACCACTATTTCATTCTACTGATGAAACACTTTACTTCTATATAACTCATGTAGGAAATGAGAAGATATTTTAGAGTGCTTGTATTTGGAATTATCCTTCAATATCTAATCAATTTTTTTTAACCTGATATTTCTTTTATAATTCTAAGAAGATTTCAAGGCTATTCCACCAGGTGGCAGAATGTAATCAGGTTTTGAAGGGATTAAAATATATATTAAAGTATAAAACCTAGCATTGCTTTGTTTAGAGATGCTACATCTTGTAATATCTTTGAAGGAAGAAAGACTTTTGAGAGGGAGAGGGGGAGGGAGGCCGGGAGATTAATGACTAGGAGAGAGGAAAAAGCTGATCACTTTGTGAATTAATTTTGTTAGATTTTTTTAAAAACTATCCAAAGAGCCTTCTATTTATAGGCCTTTTGTCTTGATTCGGTCTGAGCTCTTAGATTTTTTAAGTTAGGAACAAACAGTCAAACGATGAAATTAAATTTAATAATTATCTCTAAATTACTAGTAGTATAAAATTTAAAATAATCTCTAAAAATTTATCTAAATTCAAAAACAATCAAAAAGCCAAAAAACTACAAAATATACAACAAAAATTAAAATTGAACACTTTTGTTTGGAAATGTTCTGTCTATGATACACGTTCTCTCCTTTCACTCATTTTATTCTAACTTATTAAAACATTAAGATAATGAATTTTCAAAAAAGAATTAGTGGAATAATTATAATTCTAAATTCTGGTATTTAGAAAAGGAAACATTATTTATGTTAATCATTAATTTATATTTTTAAAGAATCATATCATGTACTAAACATATGTACGTCGTAATAATATGAGATGGTATGGTCTGATGGTTATCTTTTTCACTTAATCTTCTAATGGACATTTCTCACTCATATTTCTTTTGCATCCTTATACTATTTTTTTTATTAAATTTATATATATTTATTAGTAATTTACCTTATTGTTATATTTTTCATTCACTCAAACATGTAAATTTTATTCAATTAATTTTTATCTTTTGTTTAAATAATTATTCTAAACTGTTAATATAGATTACTAATAAATATTCAATTTATTAATTTCAAATTCACTCATAACTTAACATTAAATTTAATTTACAAATATATTATCATAAATGTATTTATTAGTGTTTTATTTTAGTTTCATTTCATAATTATGATACTTTCTAATATTATCACTCACTTAATATCAATTTGCCTTTCAATTTATTTTCTAAATTTTTTATATATTTGCATATGTATCATATTTTATTAATAAAAAATTATAATTTTTTATTCATTAACTAAACTTTTTGTTTTCTTCTTATCTTCCAAAAATATCTAGCATTCATAAATAAGGCATTAGGTTGTCTTCATTTTATTTTTATTTAAGAATAATGAAAGCTAGATAAATGCAATTCATAAATTATCAAATCAATACACTACTTTAAATCTCACATCTAATTTTTGGTTGGTGCTCAAGTGAATGTGGATCTCTTCTTTATCTCCCGGATATCCCAAACTAATGTCTTTAAACATTATATATATCTTAAATATTATCTAAATCTAAAATTTATAATTTATAAAATCTAAGTAAATATTTACCTATCATTGTTTCATGCTCGTCCGCGCTTAATCGAACACAGCTTCATGTTCAGTCTCACACGTTAAACCTTCCGCTCTAACCCCTTGCAAGTGAGACCATGCACGCTAACTCTCTTGCAAGGCTCATCTCACACTTGATAGCCATTCATAATGTACTTGTTTTGGCTAGCTCATACTCCGCCCTTGTTAGCATTCGGAGCAAGTCTGCATCATTCCCCTTCTCATGGTACTTCCCTAAGCTCACAAGCTTCTCTCCCCTCCTCTCACACGCATTCCTTGTTTTCGCTCACACTCTCTGCTATACACTCCAGCAACCTCTCTGTCTTCATCTCCTCTTTGACTCCTTGCCTTCTTTGTATCTCTCTTTGATTCAATTTCGTCTCCCGCTTTCTCCGTCCCTCCTCTTAATAATACTAAACCAATGCTAGACGTTTTGAGATTTACAAACATTACACAAAGGCACATCATCTAGATGTCAAACTGAAATGCCGCATAATGTCAAATCATAAACTATCTCACATTGCTAGAAAGAACTTCACCATGAAGCTCTATCTGACTAATTTTGCACTGCATGATTGTTTTCCTTTAACCTTAACTCTGAATTCATTTGCATTTTGCATTTCAGTGCTCCTGTTCTTTCTTTTTGAGTACCTGTATGTGCAGGGCCATGCTGGAGCTGCAATTGCTTATGGCTCGCTCCTTCTAAAAGGTAACTAACACCTCATTGCTTCTGAGCTAATCTCTTACTGCCCAGTTTAATATTTTTGATGTGAAACATACCATATTACCTGCTCTGGAGTTCAGTTCACATCACTTACATAGGTTTGGTTTGATAAGTGGCTTGTGAGCTGAGCTCGATTTGCTAACTAGCGAAGCTCAAGGCAGTCTTGACTCGACTAGTTGGGTTGTGAACTAGCTCGTTTAGAAAATAATTAATAAAAAATATACTCAAAATATATTCAAATTCAAGTTTTTACCTTTAAATTATTAACAAATTTTAAAAAATAAAATTTATATTTTATATCGTGTGATTTTTTATTAATTATCTCCTAAATGCTCTTTCTATTTTGTATTGGGGCATTTACATACATAACACCCAATTCTTATGTTTTTATGCATTGAACACCTAAACTTTTCATTTTATATTTATATCATCGAAAATTTTCATATCACATCAACAATACCACTATTTTTAACTTCTAAAATATGATATGCAACTATTCATGTATAGGCGAGGTGGTTTATATGTAAAAAAGGAAGTTTAGTTGTTAGATATGTAAGTACATAAGAATTAAGTGGTATGTATGTAATCTTTATCATTTTATTATAGCACTAACTTGAGTTAATATATTTTTTTCTCTTTCGTAGTAAATAAGTCAGCTGGCTTGCACTCGTAGAGCTTGTGCTCAAACTTAATTAATTAATCAAGTTTAAGTCGAGGGTGACTTGAGCTTGACTCGATTGATTTACCCATTCAAATTCGATTAATTAATCAAGCTTAACCTCAAGCCAAGGGTGACTCAAGCTTGACTTGACTCATTTACACGGATGAATTACTTCGTGATGACTCTAAATTGATGATGAAGCAAATAAGTTTTGTGTCAAATTGGTGCAAGGTCAGCTCGGATGTGTTGTGCACTAGTTGGAAACAAAGTAAATAATTTCAAAGAACCGGGTTTGAGTGTCAGCTAAAAATAAATAAATAAATAATTAATTATTAGTGTTAGGTTAGTATTGGGGTATTTACATACATACCACCCAAATCTTATGTATTTACATTTCTAACACCAATATTTTGACTTTCACATTAACGCCACCCAAATCTTTCATATTCTATCAAAAATATTATTATTTTAACATTTAAGAATTGAAATACAT